TGTAGCATGCCTGACTTTCATATGGGAAATGGCAGGTCGTATCCCATCATAGAACTGCAGTTACTATGTGTATATTTCAACCATAATCTTACCTATATCTCAAGCATGGTGTATTTGCCATAATGACTGTTTTCCCCAAACTTTAGCCTCACCATAGTTTCCATGTGCAGATACTGAAAGAATTTTAAAACAATCCAGTGATTTGCAGAATCATCAGTTGTTGTCTGAGTTTGAGTCCAGGGCTTGTTTTTCTATAGATTTTTCTTCTTTTTTCACAAAGACAGTTTAAATGTATCCGAGTAGGGCTTTTCAGGTTCAATGTAAACCCAACATACTGTAAATGGCATTTGCCTCAAACAAATTGTATGCATTCATTCTTTAACCTTAAAATTCTTTTCGTATGATTTTCGTTCTTTTTTTTTTCTTTTTGTGAATGTGTTCTTTGTTGTGAATATATTTTCTTCTTCCCTGATGCCTGACTGCTTGTCTCTTTTCTCTGTTTGGTATTGTTTATATTTAGATCTTCCTAACCTGTTCTTTTCTTCTTGACTATTTCTCTCCTTCTCTTCCTTTACAAGCTGCTGTAGCTGCCGCAGCCAACACCAGCACTGCTACTACTGCTACCACTGCTGGGGCTCCAGGGGTCCCTGTGGGCCTCCCCCAGGGGGCCCCTGGTTCCCCCAGCCCCGGCCCTGCTTCTCATAACATCCCCTCAGTCAACGAAGGTACAGACTGAACTGACGGGTACCACTTAGGGAACGTCTTGCTGCCATACTCTTTTTCAGTCACTTATCTTTGTCTTTGGAGATCTTCTGCTTCCTAGATCGTCTTTCCTACCGCTCTTCCTTCTGCCTTTCCATTTGTTTCTTCTCCCCTTCCTGTATATTTAAATTTTTCATTGTCTATTCCTATTTCTGTTTTTCTTTGTTCTCTAGACTTCTTTCTCTCTCCTTTTATCTCATCACAATTCTTCACCTCTCCTCTCTTCATACCATCAGTTATTCATCTTCCCATGTTTTTTTTCATGTTTCTCTCCTTGGGTCTCGTCACCACATCTGTCTTCTCTTGCATCAGTCTTGTTTTTCTCTGCAGCCAATGTTAGGTTTTCACCTCAGGTGTCTAGCTCCAGTTTCTTGCAGTGTCTTTGTCCTTGTTTTGGTCTACAGCGCTGTCTATCTGTTTATCTGTCTGTCTTTCGTAGCTGAGTTCAGTCCACTTTCAATCCACTCAGTTGAAAAAATGTGTAGTTGCATGTAAATGCTGCAGAACACTTGCTATGGGAACCGGTCAAGTGTTTGTAATGTAGAATCTATCTGACTTGGTTATCGGAAATCAAACATTTGCAAGAGGTAGCAATTTTTCTTAATCCCTGATATATACAACTTTTTTTTTTTTTTAAACTATAGAAAAATTGAAAGAATGCAAATTATTCATAACATAGTCCTGTACAAAACCAGTAGAACAAGTACAAGAAAAACACCCAACAATCCTCCCTCTTGATCTATTGACTTCAAGATGTCATTTCAGGTGCAGTGGTATAACAGTGCAGCAAAATTTGGAGAGACAAACAGTTTTGTCATCTGCAAACAAGCGGACTAACGTTTGGAACTGATGCAGTTGAGAGTGCATTGACCACAGTTGTTATGCCCTGGTCTTTTGTCTTTTTTCAGTCCTGTATTGTGCAGTCCTGCCATGTTTTTCTGTCTGTCTTTCTGTCTACCTGTCTGTCTGAATGTCCATGTGTCCTGATGTTTCAGTGTCTCTAAGCTCACTGTTTGCATGCTTGCTATTTCCACCTGATGGAGTGGGGAGTGTGTCATTACAAAAACAATTTAAACAGATCAAATCCAAAAAAAAAAACTTTTTTCTGTTAATCATTTTAAATTTGATTGTAAATTAACTTCACTGTACATCATCATAGGTTATAGTTGGAGTATTTTCTGGTATCCCACTCAGAGTTTTATGCTGTTTTTCTTTCTTTTTTACAGACAGCAAATGTTTTTTGTTTGTTTTTTTAACAGGATGTTGGCTTGTACCACGGAGGCTTGCAGCCCCACCTACCCATACAATGAATGTACTCTCAAATTATTTAAACAATTCCACATTTGTGGTTTGTATAGATCAAGTGCCTTTCAAAGTTGATAATCTAAAAACAGAGAAGGTCAGGATAATTTTTATACAGTTTTATAGCAGAAAACGGCAAGCATGCACACAGATGCTCATTCCTTCCCAGTACCTGTAGGAATATTTTAGAATAAAACTTACCTTTAACATTCTGTAGGACCAAATAGCAAAGGTTATGTGCTATATTCCCAAAAGACTGCCCTGCAGAAACCCAATAATTGTTTTTTATTATTGTTGTAATACAAGATACAAGTCTGATATTTTTAAGACAATACAAAATTCTGTGGTAACTGATTGAAAATCGTGTTTAACAACAGCTGTTCTTAGCCCACTTTTAGCCTAGTTCTGGTGGTACTACCTGGGTTAAGTATTGTTTTCAGTGGGACTCACATGTTTTAATTTATAGGTCAAATAAATAATTACTAGTAAAATTAAAATAAATAATTAGTAGTAGCAGCAACAGCTGTTAGCAACAATAGTACTTCATAGTTATTAGCAACAGCAGTAGTAACTAAGCAAGAGTAGTACTAGTATTAGTAGTAGTTGTAATAGCAGCTGAGCAGCAGCTATAGAAGTAGTAGTAGTAGCTGAGCAGCTATAGTAGCAGTTAGCACCAGCAGCAGTGTAAGCAGAAGCAAGAGTGGTTGTTAGCAGCAACAGTAGTAATTGTAGTTAGCAGTAATAGTTGTTGAAGCTATAGATGCATACATACAAACATACATACATACATACACATATACAGTGGTCATTTTTAACCACAGTCTTTGATGACATAACTAAAAGCATAATTTCTAAAGTAACATTAATCCCTAAGTGGTATACAGTAAAGCATCGTATACTACTTGTATAACCCAGGGAGTCAAGCACCCAACTTTCAGGTATGGTGATGAAAGCAGAGTGCCAGAATTGTTACTAAGGATTTTCTGTGTAACATCAACTTAATCTCAACATTTTTCCAGCTGCATCTTGTAAAGTCTGGTAAAAAGGTAAAGCAGGGTCTGCCATATCATATTGGCATCATGACCCATCTTTTAGTAGCTCAAGAGAAATGATGACAGAGGAGCTTCCTGTGTCAACAGTTGGGCTGGCTGGACTTCTATTCTTGACCAGCATGAATTTGCTACTGCTCCAGGTAGAAATTTAGGAAACGGCCTGAACAGAGGAGAAGTGTTCAGGGTTTAATAAGTATTTGAAGGCGTGGTGGAAGGTAGCAGTTAGAAATTTCATGTAAGAGACTTATTTAGTGAAATGATTCAAATATTTTTTGATTTGAGGTTTCTGCAAGACAGTGATGCAAAGTTTGTAACTAGAGGTTGACTGATTATTCTTGTTGGATCGACGATACTGAGACAATTTGGTTATTATGCTATACGAAAGATGTCAAATATTTGACAAAAAATTTATATTTTCTTTTTGAAATTCATCTGAATTAATCTGTCAACCTCTACATACAGTATTCCTGAATGCAGTATGTTTGTTATACGCTTAACAGTTTGGGTTTTTTCTGTATATTTCAATGGCAGAGGTAAGTTTACATGGTGCCTCTGGCAAAGAAATTTGTATGGAATTTCTTTCCCGCTTAAAAGCCATTCAGTGTCCATCACACAAGTACATTTCACATACATGCATCTTCTCTGGAAGCCATATATTGAACAAATATATGTGAATAAGGTGCTTGGTTTATGTCGAGTATCAGCAAATGAACATTTCAGTCCATTTTTGTCACAGACGTGTAAAAGCTGGTGTATATTTCTCTGGTGTTTGGTGTAAAGTATAAATATATGCCATTGTTTTTGGCTCAGACTGATACAGCCAGATTTGAGCCCTTTGAAAGCGATACCAAGACATTTTGAATGTTAGTTTTCATTGTCACTCACGATAATACAACTGAGAAAAAAGTGATCTACTTGTTGTCATTTGTTCTGAAAACCCACAAGGTTTTCGTCTGTTCTCAACTAGACTCTTCCACACAGTGCAATGCTGCTGAATGAAATAAAACACACTTAAATTCATCATGCCAAGGTATCGTTATGTCAGTCCACCTGACAGTGCTGTATATCTGTCGTTTACCTGTTGAACACCATCAGACATACCCAGGCTCTGGTTAGCAGAAATAACAACTTTGCTCTAACCAAGACTGTAAGTAATAGTGTCAATGATATTCCCATCCTGTGTGTAATTGTTGTTAGTGTGATTTTTCTATGAGGACTGTACAAGATCAGTGTGTATGTTTAAGGATGTGAGAAACTCACTGCTGTCATATGAAGAAACACGGGGGAACTTATTTAAGACACGCAGACAAAAATAACTATGTAAATATTCTTAAATAGTTCAATACTCGGGGAAATGCACATATTTGCTTTCTTTCAGGGAGTGACTGGAAAAGATGAATCAGTCTCACTGATCTGCAGCCTGTTGAAGTGCAGTTTTATCATCAGATGAGAAGTGACGCATAAGTGTGATCAGTCAGCTTTTGTTAGCGTTACTTCACTTTCCACCAGGATTATGACATCATGTGGTTTATCTCTTTGGTCCATTGGCAACATATTTTAATAACTACCGATAAGATTTCCAGTGACACTGTGTCGATACTCTTGGTCCCCAGAGGATTAATCCTCAACAGTGGCCCTTGACCTTTCCTCTAGTGCCACCATCAGAACAAAATGTTCACTTGTACACAAAAAATAGCAAAAAAAAGTACTGCTAAAGCTCTATGAATGGTCTAACATAAAAGAAAAAAAAGTGCTTTTCTGTGACAGCAGTGAGGTTGGTATATGAGCACGTGAGAGGATTTTTATATATAGATTTATTCACCGACCCTCCCTGTAGTTTTTCTGACTGTGTGGTTGTGTGTGTGTGTGTGTGTGTGTGCGCAGGTTGGAGACAACTGGCAGCCATGCATTGTGTGATGCTTCCTGACCTCCTTGGCCTGGACAAGTTTAGACCACCTCTGCTGGAGATGTTGGCGAGGAGATGGCAGGACCGCTGTCTGGAGGTAATTTACACACACACACACACACACACACACACACACACACACACACACCACACACACACACACACACACACACACACACACACACACACACACAGTCTTCCATGCCAGTACTAAAAATACAGTTATATCCTTATATCCTCTGAATTTGCTGCAGCAAATATGTTTTGAAAGAAATGTAATCCTGTCTGCATAACTATTTTTATCAACATAATGAGGCGTCATTTTTAATAATCATATTTCCAAAGTTGCTAAATGTGGATACTGAATGTATCTGCAGAACATTCACATTCTACATATTTTATTTGCTTTGCCAACAATCAGAGATGCTCATAAGTTATTTTTTGCAAGTCATGTTTGTAACGAGCGTTCTGTCATCTGCTGCATCCCATCCAGTCTGCTCAGAACACTGCATTGCCACACCTAAGGAATTCAAAGCATGTACTGCATTATCATTCTTTATCTATGAGGGGATGACACTCAGCTTGTCAGACATTTCCTTAATGTTAATGCTCCAAAACATACAACAACTAGAAAAAACTAAGTTAAATAGAACAACCAGCACATTAAGCTGTAGTTCTTTTTGTGACTTTCCTCTGTATAAGTTAGAAGCTATACAGAGTGTGAGGTTAGAGTTCAGACTGGACAGCACAGCTTTAAATACAACACCAGGCATATTTGAATGTTAGTAATTTCATTCAGCTTCATTGGATATTTTCTGTGATAAGTTTCTGTAGATCTGAACTGATCACACAGACTTTGTGGAAAATTAGCTTATTAGAATTTCTGATGAATAAAGAGCAGAAAGCGAAGCTATACAACAAGATCCTGCTAAATAAGCTCAGGCCAGACTCCCGTTGTCTCCTGCCAAACGCTTATTCTGTAAAACTGGACTCACCACCGGCTGTGGTCATGAACTCACTCTGCTACTGTGCGGGACCGTAATAAAATAAAGGTTGTTCATGAGTCACAAATCATGAGTCCTAGTTGAGTCTCAAGTCGAGGCTCTAGTGACTCTGTGTGCAACTTGAGTTTAACTGGAGTCCCCATCTCTGCCGAGAATGAACCAACCAAACAGTGAACCATGTCTGTTCATTCTGGTGAAGTGAAAACGATGTAGAGTTAAAAACAGGACTTGGCTGCTCACCTGAAGATCCTCTATCCCTCTGCTCCATCGTAACTTTACCCTCTGTGTGGTTTTAGGTGCGAGAAGCAGCACAAGCTCTTCTATTGGCTGAGTTAAGAAGGATTGGCCAATCAGGACGCAAGGACACCATCGACATGTGGGCTCCCTACCTCCCTCAGTATGTGGACACCGTCAGCTCCCGTAAGTACCTCGCTCTGCTTCATATCACAAAGACATGAATCAAGAAACCAGAAGCTGATCCTGTAGGTTCTTAGCGCAGCTGACTCTGTCATGTCTCTCATTTCTGTTTGGGAGCAGCTTATTTCTTCCTCTGCGCTGAGAGACAGAGCCGGAAGCCATATTGTTTTCAAGTTGTCTGTCTATCCCATTCTTGTGGACGCAATATCTCAGTAACGCCTTGATGGAACTTCTTCAAATTTGGCACAAACATTCATTAAGAATTCTAGGATGACCTGATTAAATTTTGGTGGTCAAAGGTCAAGGTCATGGTGACCTCACAAAACACGGTTTTGGCCTTGTGAACGCAATATCTCAGTAACGCCTTGATGGAACTTCTTCAAATTTGGCAACAACATTCACTTGGACTCAAGGATGAGCTGATTAGATTGGTGCACAAAGGTCACAGTTCAAGGTCACGGTGACCTCACATTATTGTGAACGCAATATACCCGGAACGCCCAGAGGCAATTTCATCGCTTCTGTCACACTGATCCTGCAAAGCAAGTTTTCAGGCCCTAACTCATAAAATCATTCACTAATTATGACACAATTTAAGGATAAAATTAAGTGATGACATTTTATATCGAAAGGGTCAAAGGTCAACTTCAATGTGACATCATCATGTTCTGCAAAAACACTTCTGCTCATAATTCAGTGCTTTAACTCAGGAAGGAGAGACTGTGACCATATTTCCTGATACTTGGCTGGTTGGTGGAGGAAACAACCACGAGGTGGCGATTGTAGTTTTCTAATGTTTTGCCATTATCGTTTGTTGTGGTAGCGGTTTTTTAGTAGCAGTTTGCTAAACGTCTTTCACGTTGATCAAAGATATAAATTGGTTTAAGATGATTTACAACAACCTGCACACCTGCATCCATCTCTGCTACAGTTGTGCCCATTTTTGTTGCCTTTTTTTTACAGTTGGTTTTTCATGAATATAGCTAACAAGCTATGCTATGTAGGAAGATGATGTACCCATTCTTAATCCCACCTACAAAGCTCTGTCAATTATTTCTTTGACTGTACAGAAAGAGCTGTCTCAGTGAGCACAACACAACACGAGACCTACTCGGACAAAATGGAAATATCTCTCTCTCTCTGTCCTATTTTTTTTTTTTTTTTTTTGGTCTGTCTATCCCTCTGTCTCCAGCTCTTTATATTCCCTATCGTCTCTCTCTCTCTCTCTGTCTGTCTATAGTTAGACCTGCTGATGGGAAGAAAGGTGAATCTCCACCTTCTTTTACTAGAAACAGCCCTCTAAAATGCTGTGTGTGTGTGTGTGTGTGTGTGTGTGCGCGCGCGCGTGTGCGTGTACGTTTGTGTGTGTGTGTGTTCAGGAGTGGCCCTGTGGTTGCTGAGGATGCTGGGGGTTTCTCAGGGGAACAGTTGCCATGGAAACGGGCACCGGTCAGTGTTGTGTTACCACAGCAGTACCGCAGGCAGGGGAGGTGGTGGGAGTGATGGACCGGTGACCTCAGGGGAGGAGGGGGAGGAGGGAGGAGTGGGGGAGGGAACAGAGAGAGAGAGATAGAGCGAGGTTAAAGGGTCATTGAATTTGATCCGTGTGCTGCACAGCAGGACTGAAACAGACGGTAAGATGACTCCTGCTGGTCCTGGAAATCCTGGAACATCATAGGAGAGTCAGGGAATGTGTTGAATCCCCTGGAGAAGTCTTTTGAGCCTGAACCTCTGCTTGGATCTCTCTGTTGTTAAATGCCACATGTGTCATTTTCACATATTTTGAACTCAAAATCTAACCCTTTTCCCTCCAATGAAAGAGGGTGTGTCATCCTCTTCTGTTCTGTGAGCCTCTGTTTTGATCACAAAAGTGTCCTGAACTCTGCTCACCATCACATAAACCCTGCAGGTCTACTGCTGTCCTGAAGCTAACCAACACTAGCAGCAGTATCATGCTAAGGTTTGGATCTTTGAATGGCAAAAATGTGTTTGTCTGTCAATGAAATATGTCTACAATGAATTTAGCATGAAAACATGACCAATATTTTTACTTTATTCAATATCCACTAAGGCTCCTCGTGACATCATGATCATGTTAATAAGTCAGTACAGATACATTTCACTTCAATTTTTCCATCAGCACCAGCATTGTCAGTTTATTTTCTAACTGTGAGTTCACATCAGAATGGAGGCATCAGTGGAATAAGTGCTCCTGAAACATCCATCTGTTCAAACCATTTTGATATAACCCTATACATACGGAGAAGTTAATAAGTTCATAACATATAAACTGCAGGAGATTTGTGTGGTTTTAACCTCAGCCTTTGAAGATTACACTTCACTAAGAGTCCCATAACAAAAACTAAACTTAAAACTAGAATCACCTCCTCGCGGTTGTATGGCTCCTCCACTCAGACTAGTTTCGGGTTATTTTGTCATAATTGCTGTGTGAAGAGTTATGGCTAAAAAGTGTTTTGTGTTCCTACTTGAGTCCCACTGGACACTTGTGGCAAATGTGAAGGGATTGCCTAGAAGAGTTCTCGAGATATCGCGTTCACAAAGCCAAAACCACTTTTTGGGAGGTCACTGTGACCTTGACCTTTGACCTTTGACCTTTGACCACTGGCACAGAGGCAAGAAAATCATGGGATTTTGAGTCTCAGCTTGTATAATATTAGATGACATGAAAGCATTTCTCCTCTACAATGGTAGACCTGTGACGTCAGAAATGCTGATTAAAACACAACCAGTGTGGAATGCCTTTAAAAGTTTGCTCACACTGGAACATCAATGTACACCTTAATCTTAAAAAGCATTACTGCAGTGGTTCATGGTGAAGGCTAAATAGATAAATGCTTTGGGACTGCAGCAAAGCAACTTTCAGCAGATGATGAACCAGCTGCGACTGCGGCAGATATCACTGGTACCAGCAGGATGAGCTTTGATTGCAGACTGTTGGCTAAAAGTGTTTTTGGACAGCACATGGTAAAAAATGTTAACCTTGCTGATGTGTTGGACACGTGCTAGTTTGCTCAGCTCGCAGTAATAGTCCACTGTCTGTAACTCCAAAGTTACAACCTTTTATATATATATATATTCTCTCTTTGTGTTTTCCTATTGAGCTGCAGTGGAGGGATAGTCACTAAAAAGGTTGTAACTTTGGAGTTACAGACAGCGGACTATTACTGCAGACTATATATATGTAATACGTATTGTGCCACTTGATTTGACCAATGACACTGCTGAAACTTGGCTTCAGATGAACTTAAAAGGACTGTGTTTTGTTCTTGATTTCAGTAAGTAAAAGCTGTTGGTCATTGTTCATATGGGATCCTGTTGTTTTAAAACAGACTTTGAAAATGTTGAACCTTTCCTTTAAAGTCACCATGGCACCTACAGTGTGAAATGTGAAAATATTATTGTAAATAATTAATCCCAGAAAGTCATCTGTTGTCTTGGTAACACTGATAAACTGAGATTTGTCATCTGATTCAAAGATTTCAGCATTTGCAGAAATCGGTTAGGAGACCAGATATTTCGTTTTTGGTCGAAATCAGTGTGACTTGAAGACATGGCCATGATCCAGGTCCTACGAAAACATCTTAAAGAGATCTTAAAGCTTTTCAGAGGGACCCTGAATGAAATTCCTCTGTGTCAATCTTCCCAGTGTGAAGTTGAAGGAAACAGGAGCACAGCAGTACAGCAGGCAGTATGGTGGGATAGAAACCAGCATCAGACAGCTGAGAGGAAATGATGGTGGAAAATAGACATATGGTCATAATATACTATAAACTGTACTGTACAATATAACACATCTCACACTCTGACTGTTGTCATTCACATGGGAGGATCAGTGTAACATAAGTAGAGTTATTTCGCGCTGTTGACACTATCATCAAATAGGCACTCTGCAGTCCTCTTGAGCCTCCCCTTCTCTCTCTCTCTCTCTCTCTCTCTCTCACACACACACACACACACACACACTCCTCCAGCAGCAGAGTGGTTGGTGTTTGAAGGAAGACACCTGTATTTATCCATTAGCTTTTAGTGCCTAGGAAATGTCACTGAGTCAGTGACAGAGTCCCACTGTCGCAGCATGGGGCTGAGCAGACAACAAACACACACGTACACACACACGTACACACACACACATACACACACATACACACACACACACACACGCAGCAGTAGCCCTGGCTGACCTTTCAGCTCTCCTGTTAGTGTTTAAAAGGCTTTAACACAAAGGAAACAGGAGTTGTTAACCTGCACTCAGAGAGAGAGAGACAGAGGGAGACATAAACCACTCACACCATCTCCGTCATCATCACTGCTGTGTCTAATGACTTGCTTTACCCCCTCTAAAGGAGCAGTTCAACATTTTGGGAAATAGTTGTATTTGCTTTCTGTGAGAGTGAGAATATTACTACCAGATTCATGTCTGTGTGTGAAGCCAGGACGTGGTGTAAAGACAGGAATGGAGACATGGACTTATATCTGGCAGCCAACTAGTCAGACATGCTGCACAGCAGTACTAACCAGTAATAAAACATGAGTGTGAAGCTTTAATCTTTGAGGTGGAAGACGTCCTGAGCGGCAGGGGGGAGGTGTAGCAATGAAAGCCCAGGAGAGAGGCTACAAGGCTGGGCAGCGAAAAGAGTCGACCTAGGGGGGCTGGATGGAGGGAGAGGGGCTCCACACACACTTAACGCTCTCATATTCACACACACTTGATTAAACAAAGTCCCCAGCATTGTTCACCGTCACACGCATGAACACACACAGTTTTAAGGGTCAAACTGTGTGTGAGAAGCAGCTGTTTCTTTGATCACTGAACAGCAGTTACCATTTCCCCTCTCTCTCTCTCTCTCTCCTCTGTTTTTAGTCTATTGCCTATCTCGTTCACCCAATCCGGTGTATTTTTTTTCCACTCGTCGAGCTGCTGCTGTTAAAGATGTTCCTCCTCCTCGTCCTCTTCTTTTCCGCTTTTTCTTGTCATCCTCTCATCTTCTCCTCGTCACTTTTTTTATTTTTTTGCATCTGTCCCTCCATCACCCTCCCCCCTTTTTCCCGACTTCTATTTTTCCTCATTTCCCCTTTTCCCCCCTTCACCTCCTCTCCTGTCTTGCAGTCTTCTCTCTCACACTATTGATACGTTTCATTCTCCAATCCTGTTGCTCTTTGTCTCTATATTTCTTTTCCCCTGCTTCCTTCCTTCCTACTCCTCTTCCTCCTTCGTTCACTGACTTCTTGTTTCTTATTGTCACCCTCCCTCATTTGTGCTCTACTCCTAATCACTATAATCTGCTCATTGTTTCTTTCTTTTACTCTTTTTTACATCCTTCCTTTTTTGCTCCCTCCGTTCCATCTTTCCTTCCTGTCTTCTCATTTTTTTTTCCTGCCTCTGACCTTCCTGTAGTCTTTTCCATCTCTTTGCCTTCTCCCCATCTTCTTTGTTTTTCCTTTTTAATTATCAAAGAACAAAAAATAGATAAGAAATAAGTAATGAAATTAAATACAAACAGAAACATGGTAGAGGTAGCTATGACGGAGTATTAGGGCCACACTGAGGAAAAAAAGAAATCTGAATATATTACAATTACAAGAATTAAAAAAAAAAGGACAGTCAGTGTCAGCTGCTGTTTGTCTGTCTAACTATAGAATGAACTCAGTTTCTTCACAATCTTGTCAATGTCCTGATGACGACGATGATGATGCTGATGATGAGGAGGAGGAGGAGGAGGAGGAGCCAAAAGATGAAGTTTCTCCTTATTAGTGAAACCTCTGCTAAAGTAGAACTTCACAGGGTGCTCCATGTTACTAATTTTAAAGCTTCCCTCTAAAACAACATGGAACCTAAAATTCTACAACTTTATTCTCGCAATTTCAGATTTAATTTCCCTCGATGTCGTCCTAATACTACAGCGTAGGTAGCAGACACTGGACAGGTAGGAGGTTTTTCCTGCTGCCCCAACACATCTAGAAAAATAACAGACTGGATACTGGACACAAGTGTGAAAATTAACAGTGACAATATTTCAGAAATGATTCAAGAATAAATAACACACCTGCTAAAAAGTCTCATCTTATATGACCATCTGTTGTTATATCAGTAGTTCTTAAAGTTAACTTTGCAAAAACTAAGACAAATACAGAAAAGAAACAAGCGCCAAATGAAAATTTTGAAATTGAAAAACAAGGGGAACGACTGTGCTGAACAAAAAGGAAGTGTGTGTTTTAAACAGAGGAGAGCGAGCAACAGCCAGAAGAGAGGAGGTCCTGGAGGTTAACAAGGCATGCTGGGAGCTATGTGTCATGGCTGACATGACAAGCTTGACCTTGGAGCAGGGCAGAATGTCTCCTCCCTCCCTGTTTTCCCCTCCTCCCCCCATCATCCACCCCTCCTCCACCTCCCTCTCTTCTTTTTCTCCCTCGGCTCTTGTCTCTCTCCATCTTATTCCCCCTGGCCAGGACAGTTGAGTAATAGACCCGGCCAGTGTATGTATGAATGGAAGATGATCCTGGAGAATATGGACACGAGAATTAGCCAAGTACTGCACAGGTTTCTAATGCATTCACTGAGCAATTTGTTAGGAACACCTCTACACCTGCTGCATTATCCAATTCAATCATCCAATCAGCCAATCATTTGGCAGCAGAGCAACCAAGCACTAACCTGAGGATGAAAAATGAATCCATCCCTGACGAGACAAAAACTGCACTTCCTTTAATGGCCACTTCGAACTTTACAGCAGAAATAAACATGTTTACAGCCTGGTACAAAAACAGTTTTGGTCTCTATAGCTAGTTTCCTCCTTCATGACAGCTGTTTATACACAGTAACTCACCTCTTTACATTTTATTAAAGCTTAAAGTTCTGTAGAATTGAGGGCGTGGCCTCTTTGAGTGACAGGTGGGTGAGCGTATGCTTGCAGCAGACCAGCATACATCAAAGTCTCAGCTTCACACACGCCCCTCCTCATTGACCATTTTTGGATTAGCTCGGAGTTGGGGGCGGAGTCAGACACTGCCAAGATGGGGATGGTGGAGCAGCTCACTCTGAGCTTCAAAACTGCTCTTCAGAAACATATGGGTGACGTCTTGGAGGCTAAGTCCATCTTTATTTACAATCCACGGTTAGAACTGGAGCTATGCAAATCCACAGAAATTATGTGATGCAGTTGTGTCAACATGGAGCAGAGTCTCAGAGTCGAGTCAATTTTTATTTTTATAGCGCCAATTCACAACATAAGTTCTCTCAAGGCACTTTCCAAATAGAGCAGGTCTACACCTTCAATTTATAATATTATTTACAGAGACCCAACAATTCCCACCAAGAGCAGCAGCTGGTAACAGTGGCAAGGAAAGAGAGAGAGATAGAGAGCAAGAGAGAGCACAGAGGAAAAGATCAAGAACATGCAATGATAACAATATTAATAATAGTGATTGTAATGGCAGTAGGAAAATTTCCAACATCTTGTAGGACTGAGACTGTTCAGAGAGCATCGGGAGGCCCCACCCAGTATTAGTATGGTGCTCCTAATAAAGTGCTCAGTGAGTGTTTAATCACTTGTGTGTTTAGTACAATTAGTTCTTTATTTCCACCGGTTGGATGTTTTGCTTTGTTGTTTGCTCTGTTGTGTTTCATGCCAGTAACGCTCATGTGAACTGCAACTGAACTGAAAGTGAGAAACATCAGTCAGCCTTTTTGTCCAATCACAGCAAAGCATCAGTTATATTTTAATTAAGTCCAATTAAGTTTTTATCACTTTAACATGTGAGATGGATAATCGGCAACCTGGCTTCTGTCAGTGTGTGTGTTTGTGTGTGTGGTGATCTAAAGCTGTACAAAGTCATTATGCTGTCAGCAGTGTGTGTGAGCAGGTTAATTGGAACATAGAACACAATGTTAACAAGGATAAATCAATGTAATTATACATAGTGTAATTACAGTTTTTTACACACCCCTCCCCACACGCACCCCCACCTTTTTTTGGCTGTTTTTCGTCGATTTGACTATGGCGTGTGTTTTTGTGTGTCTGTGTGTTTGTGTCTGTGTGTCTGTGTGTGTGTGTGTGTGTGTGTGTGTGTGTGTGTGTGTGTGTGTGTGTGTGGGCCGTGGGGGCGGCATGAGTGTTATTCATTAATTAGGCTGTTTTCTCAGAGATTAGCCCAGCATCAGCTCTGTTACCTTTAGTCGCCTCATTCATTAGCACAGCATCATTCATTAGCCCTGGCCACTAATGAAAAGCCACTTTTAATTGGCAATGGAGAGATAAGGGCTAAATGAAAACACTAAATATAGAGGGTGCGTGCGTGCGTGCGTGTGTGTGTGTGTGTCTGTCCATTCATTTCTAGATAACAAGGAGGCCCAATAAACCTTTATTAGCTACTTAACCAGGACAGTTAGCCTGATTATAAAGACCAACACAGAAACCTTGTGTGACACACACACACTATGTCGTCATTACCCTTGTGGTCAGTCTGTTTCCTGTGATGATTCAGGCTGATATTTAGTATTAAATAAAAAGTTTTCGTGTCTCTCTCTCCTCAGCCGGGACAACCACAGAGCCGTCCCCTCCAGCCCCGCCCCCTCCTGAGGCTCAGCCGGTAGAAACCAAGGCTCCTGAGGAAGAAATGGATGTCACCGATGACGACATCACAGCAGGTAGGGACAAAATACAGCATCGACAAAAAAAGATTCATTAAATGACTAGATTTTGGTTTCTTAAACACATTCAGGAACAACTCCTAGAAATCCAATGTTTGATGTCAGATATCATATTGGGGAATCCATGTTTATGTCTATATTGGTATAGCTAGGTCTGTCCAGTGATGAGCAGGTGAGGGAAATGTATGTGTGTTCACAGCTCAGAGCCTTATATGCTGCGTTAATGAAATGGATTCATAAGTGAAGACTCACTGTTTGTGCTGCTGCATTGAATAGCAGTTTGAGTATCCACCTCCAGTGTGTAGGGCGCCGTATGACTGTGTCAAGTGGAGACTACTGCTAATACCACATTTTTCAAAGACATTTTATGTTGTCATGTTGACATGAAGGTGCACAAACTACACAGGTAGGGTTCTTTGGGTTACCTGGCTTCACTGAGATTAACACTGGTTATCCTGGATGATCACTTTCATGAAGCTGGTTATCAACTGGCTCAGTTAACTCTATTCGCCTAAACCACAGACGAGACTGTGGATGTGACAGTTGTGCGCTTTAGTGTGTCCCCCATCCACTCCAGTTCTGCTGTTGATGAATGTATTCAAAATGAAACGTTGCCTCTGAACATAATCCAGCAAGTGACAGTTTAATTGGGAAAACAGTTTGAACATGAATCTGACCTGGATGATCAGATGTGGGATGCCTCCATTCCTAACAAAAAGATGTCTCTCTTCCAAGTGAGGGCATGAATTAATTCACGGCTCTATGATCACTTAACGCTAGTGCTGACCGATTAATCTTATTTTCATCATAATCACAATATGAGCATGTGCAATAAACACATCGCAAAAGACTGACTAGAACATGATGAATTAGAAAAGATTATTTTATTTGCACAAGCCATGCAGTCACACCAGGTTTCCAAGGCGCAGCGCCTGAGCCAAAGGAACCGGAAAAAAACTACAGCGTGTCGGTATCAAGCTGCTCTCTGACACACACAGCGGACAGCACAGAGGCGGCGTTGGAGACAGTGTGGAGTGAACCTTTTGCTGGAGTTGACAACAGCTAAAGTCGTAGCTCTGTGAGTGTCATCACAACCTTTGCAAGCAATTAGCGTCCTACATCACACCACCAGTTCAATAAGATTTAAACATGAAGAAAAGCTACATTTCCAACTTCTCCCTACACCGCAGTTTGTTTTAAACTAGCGCAGCGAGCTAACATTAAGCTAACAGTGAGCTGCTATGAACAAGCTAAAAGGAAACTTACATACTGCAGCTTCATTTGCCACAAACTTTTGTAAACTACAGCTACAGCCTGAGACAGCAGCCAAGCCACCCCCCCCCCCCCCCCCTCGCAGCAGCATTACCTGCAGCAGAGGGAGGAGGACAGAGGAGATGACCCATAGTGACCTCTGTCTGTGTTCTTCATTCAGCTTCGCTCAGCAAAACTGTGTATGCACACTTCAATATTTGTTTATTTATCGCAAGTCATACCGTCCTCACACTATTGAACAGTGTCAGCGCACATCGCACGTTTTCCTCATATCGTGCAGCCCCACCTAACGCTCCACTGTGACCATCTCGCAAAACAAGAATAAGATGGCATCATTAGGCACAAGGTGAGAGGCCCAGAGGACAACTGCTGCTCTTTCGTGTTGGAAGAAACAAGTTAAGACGGTTTTAGCATCAAAATGTCTTAAAGCAACTTCTGTTCGCAATTTACCTTAAAGTTGCTGTGAAATGTTTGATGGTGTTCGTGGTGTAAAATTCAGGGATTCTTCTCCCCAGTGATCTGTGGAGCCTCATCTGGTTTGATATGAGAAACACTGAAAACTCATTTATCATTTATGTGCTGCAGAATTCAGGTGTTTTGCTCTGGTGACTCTGAATGTAGGTTAATCTTGGTGTGTGTGTGTGTGTGTGTGTGTGTGTGTGTGTGTGTGTGTGTGTGTGTGTGTGTTAATCAGTGCCCCCGCAAACCCATGTGCACTGCCAGTGTTGTGTGACCGGCATGGTGTTAAAAGCAGTTTGGTGTTTAGTGTGCACACATGCTCTCCTTCTCTCTCACACACAGTAAGGTGAGAAATGATTCTCTCCAGGAAACTTTGACACCTGCAGTACAGGTAGAAGACACACACACACTTTTCTGCTCCATTTGTCTTTTGTCACATTTCCCTGAATGTTTAACTGTGACAGACACACACAGACAAGTAGATCAGTGTGGTACATCTCCTCTAGTGGCAGTGAGGACACTCTGACAAAGCAGTACATTACTATTTACTCCTGATCACAATGTAATAGCTGGATCATTTACACATAAAGTTATAGTGATTAATGGTACTTACCTTCCTCCTGCATCGTTTCATTAAACATGATAAATCCAAAAATTACAGACACATAAAATTAGAATGAACGCATTTTTCTGAAGTGTAAATTTACATTATTTCAGCTCTGAAAATGCACAGAAAATGGCTCTAACACGCTCTCACTGTCTCTTCCACCCATCTTCTTTCTTCCTCCCTCCATCCTTCTCTCAGACCAGTCAATATCGCAGACGTGTGTGACAATTTATCATTTCTCACAGCTCATTTTTCTCTTATTGACAGCAGTGTTTTTTCATTCAGTCTCTGCAGTATTAAATCTGTTAGCAGACGCCTCGAACACAGAGCAGCCTCTGAATCTTTTCTGCTGTGGAGAGATGTTGAGTTTTAAAACTTTCCCCACCATCCTTCCTTCTTTCCTTTGTCTCTCTGTTTTGTGAACTTCTCTTGTGATAAATCCAGTAAAAATCATTAATGAGAATGTGTTGTGTTGGGAAACCCATGTGAACCTATATGAGTCTGTCAGGTGACAGAGAAACAGCTGATCACATTTAATTTGTGATAGTACCAAGCAGGTTAAAGGTCTTTCCTTTAACATGGTGCATGATAAAACAGGAAGAAGTTACGTTTTTGTCTCTGCTCTGCTCTGTTCTTTGAAAGCTGCTTGGATTTGTAGCCATATTCCAATTGGTTGATTTGTAGCTCTTTTCTGATTGGTTAGTTGGTTTGCAGCTCTATTCATTTTGGTTGGTTGGTTTGCAATTGTATTCTGATTGGTTAGTTGATTTGTAGCTGTATTGTGATTGGTTGATTTGTAGCTGCGTTCTGATTGGTTAATTTCTAACTATATTCTAATTGGTTGAATTCGAGCAGTATTCTAATGGTTTCCAGCTGCATTCTAATTAGTTGTATTCTAATTGGTCAATTTGTAGCTGTATTCTGACTGGTTAATTTCTAGCCATATTCTAATGGTTGATTTCTAGCTGCATACTAATTGGTTTATTTCTAGCTGTATTCTGATTGGTTAATTTGTAACCGTATTCAAATCGGTCGACTTGTATCTCTTTTTTGATTGGTTATTTAGTATGCAACTCTTATCTGATTGGTTAGTTGATTTGCTGCCCTATTCTAACTAGTTGGTTGGTTTGTAGCTGTATTCTGATTGGTCGATTTGGAATATCTCAGTAACACCTTTAGGGAACTTCTTCAAATTTGGCACAAACATTCACTTGGACTCAAGGATGAACTGATTAGATCTTGGTGGTTAAAAGTCAAAGGTCAAGGTCACTGTGACCTCACAAAACTCGATTTTGGTCTTGTGAATGCGATATCTCTGGAACTCGTCAAGTGGACCCTTAAACTAGTTTGAGTGGCTCAGGCATACAGCCGTGAAGCAGTAATTCTGGTTTCTCTCTATTAAATGAGAAAGAGAATTATTTTACAACAGTACCTTTTATAGTAGATTTCTTTTATAGTAGACATTGTTTTACAATGACATATTATAGTGATATGTTTAATAACACATTTAGGGCAATTAGGAATCATTAAGGAATCTGTTAGCTTCATTATTGATGAATATATTGAATTTTTTTTTAGGTATGAATTAATTTTTTCGCTTATAAGATGTTAGGAAATTGTGAAAGTGCCTGTCCTGAAGTCCAGTCCAAAACCTAAAGATTACACATGATATAAATGGAAAAAAAGAGCAAAGCTTAAAATTGGAGAAGGTGGAACCACAATGGAATGATTGACATGTTGATTGATCATTGACTTAAAGTATTTATGGATTATTAAAAATTATAATATCATAATCATGCAGGATAGCTGGGTAAAGAAGTCTTACAAAGTTAATACTGCCAATCCAATTTAAGTTTTTTCTTACTGAAATTAGTGAGTGCTAACATGCTAAGACGATTAAATTGATAAGTCGATTGACAGAGAGCTAACAGTTAACTTTCTTAATTGAATAATCCTAAGAAGTCATTTTTAAAGACAGAATGTGAAACATTCTCTGGTTTCAGCTTCTCAGATATGTAAGTAAAATATAGACATTTTATAGACAAAAGAATAGGGAGACAAAGGACACAGTCAGACCAACATGTCAGAGTGTGATGTCTCACATCTAAGTGAGTTGTTTCCCTGAGCTCATCAGGTCATCACCATTCAGCTCTATTAAACGATTGTTTGAGATTTTTTTTTAAAATCCTCACTCCTCCATACACCAAGAAAAAAGGAGGAAAAAGGTGAAGAATTAATGGGAAGGGGGAAGAAACAAAGGAGGGAAGAAAAGAGGAAAGAGCAGGGGAAAAAGAGATGAGAAGAGGGGACAAAGGAAGAGAGACAGATGTCGACAACCACAGAATCACTAGGTTGCTGCAGGCTGTTACCACGGCGATAGACTCATCACCTCAGTCTACTGTCTCCCCTGTCTGACTCACTCGCTCACTCGCTCGCTCACTCACTCGCGTGTGTGTGTGTGTGTGCGCGCACTGTAATTATGTCCCTGGCAGTGTCAGGGGATGTCATTAGGATGTGCAGCCCTCCTCCTCACATACACCCCCCCATGTCACACACACGCACACGTACACACACACACACACACACACACACACACACACACACTTCCTTCAGTTCAGTTCAGTTCATTGAATCTCTATTGACATGATATTTTTGTGGT